ACCGCTGGGTTCATGCACAAGTCCTGTCTGAAAAGCTCATGACTTGTTCTGGTGAATTTATTGCTGACGAAAGAGCCCTGGAGACAGGAGTCCTCCATTTACCCCCAGCACAGGGACAGAATCAACAACATTAGTGCAAGCAAAAAGAAAAGGAGGACTTGTGGCACCTTAGAGACTAACCAATTTATTTGAGCATGAGCTTTCGTGAGCTACAGCTCACTTCATCAGATGCATACCGTGGAAACTGCAGCAGACTTTATATACACACAGAGAATATGAAACAATACCTCCTCCCACCCCACTGTCCTGCTGGTAATAGCTTATCTAAAATGATCAACAGGTGGGCCATTTCCAGCACAAATCCAGGTTTTCTCACCCTCCACCCCCCCCACACAAATTCACTCTCCTGCTGGTGCTAGCCCATCCAAAGTGACAACTCTTTACATAATCAAGTCGGGCTATTTCCTGCATAGATCAAGGTTTTCTCACATCCCCCCCACCCCCATACACACACAAACTCACTCTCCTGCTGGTAATAGCTCATCTAAACTGACCACTCTCCAAGTTTAAATCCAAGTTAAACCAGAACATCTGGGGGTGGGGGGGTAGGAAAAAACAAGAGGAAACAGGCTACCTTGCATAATGACTTAGCCACTCCCAGTCTCTATTTAAGCCTAAATTAATAGTATCCAATTTGCAAATGAATTCCAATTCAGCAGTTTCTCGCTGGAGTCTGGATTTGAAGTTTTTTTGTTTTAAGATAGCGACCTTCATGTCTGTGATTGCGCACTCCCCTGCTCAGATGCTTCGTCCTTGCCCTGGATGGACCACTGAGAGAGAGAGAGGGAGTCCCGTGCCCATGGCCCAGTTAGTCGTTGGTGAGTTGAGCAGATGGGCAACAAGGGAACCCCTGGTGCTTCCCTGATGCTGGAACTGATAGCTGGAGGCCCTGAACGAGGCTCCATGCTTAGGGGTGAGTTGAGTTTTACACTTGTACGTACATTTCTTTTCCTGTCACTGTTTTGCCATCAAAGGGGCAGATTCTCAACTGGTGTAATTCATGGAGCTGTTATGTATGAAGAATACAGCGTATCCTCTCCCACGTTACACCACTTACTCTCTGAATGCAGAGTGAATGAAAAATGGGACCGAGTTTACCAGCGTATGGCATATCAGCCCTACCATATGGGCTGCACGCTACGCTAATGAGCACTTTACAAAACAAAGATCGAAACAGTGGTGGGATTTAGAGAATGTACGCGCGGCAAGTACTGCGAGAAAGGCAAGCTTTTCTCCTAGCTAATGTTTGGCTTCCTCCTCAGAACTGGTTTCAGAGTAGCAGCCGTGTTAGTCTGTATTCGCAAAAAGAAAAGGAGGACTTGTGGCACCTTAGAGACTCACAAATTTACTTGAGCATAAGCTTTCGTGAGCTACACGCATCCGATGAAGTGAGCTGTAGCTCATGAAAGCTTATGCTCAAATAAATTGGTTAGTCTCTAAGGTGCCACAAGTCCTCCTTTTCTTTCTCCACAGAACTGGAAACTAATTGAACCTGAAATGAATTCCCCAAACATCTGGAGAGCGACCCCATTTCTGGGTAGGTTCCTATTTGAGGTTGGATATAGAGTGCAATCCTGGGGCACGTGGCCCAGCGCTCACAGACAGCCTGCGCTCTTCTGAAGCAGGGGTCCAACCCTCCTTTGAGGTGCTGAGTACACTCAGCTCTCCACTTCTGCTGCAGGGGTATTAACCCTTGGAGTCCTGGCCCACGTCATGTGACTTGGGACAGGAGATACATGGCCTTGTACGGCGACTCCTCAGTACCCTTGTTACAGGTGGGGCCGGGGAATCCAAATGTTTTGGAACGAAGGCTGTGAGCAGCCTTCGTTTGAACACTGAGTTACAGTCTGGGGGAAAAGTTCAGCTACTTGGGGTACAAGATCAGGCCAACCAAATCTGCCTGTCCCTAAAACCTATGAGTATTTAGGGCCCTGGGCGCCTCCTCGGGCTGTTTAATGCAGGTACGTTCCCGTTAACCAGGAAATCATCTTGTTGGTACCTTTGGGGCAGGGAACTACAGAGGTTCTCTGGGAAGCTCTGAGCAGCACAGGGACATCTTACAGTGTGACAGATTATTCTACAGCTCGCCCCCTAACACTGTTGCCAACTTACAGATCAGCCACAGCCTAGCGAGTGCTGTTCCCCTCGTTGTTGACATGGAGCGATTCATTTGGCGCACCCCGTTCCACCCATCTTGGAAATCCGGCCACACCCTGTGCACGCAATGATGCGAGAATCATAACTGGGGACGGTAATTGGTTATCTGAGTTAGTCTTCCCTACGCGAGCAAGGAGAGACGATGATGCTCGGGTGGCTGCTGTGTGGGTTACAGGGCCATTAGTGGTGCATATCGCTGTCAATCATCAACAGTCCGTGCAAGAGCAGTGCGAGGACAGATCAATGTCCCGTGCAAAAAGGACAGGCCAAATCCTCCTCACTGTAATGCCACTGACTTCCCCGGAGGCCCTAACGCTAGGGATGTGTTTGGCCCAGCAGCCCGTGTCTCTGTGCCTTTCCGCTCTCCCTTGCCACGTCAGCCTGGCTGGGGGAGCGGCAGGTGCAGAGCTGGGCAGCGCCGGTGTGCAGCAACATTCACAGACTTGCCAAAGTGGATGAGACCACCGGCCCATCTCGACTGTGTCCTGCCGTGGCCAGCGTGAGATGGTTCCCAATGCGAGACGGCTCCTCTGTCACAGTTCAGGGCAACGGCACCTGCATTTCCCACTTGTGGGCCAGCAAAGGGAAAAAACTAGGGGTTCTCAGCACCCACCAATCAGCTGTTCGGTGGGCCCCACTGACCCCCACCCATCAGCTGTTTGGGAGGCCCCACCGATCAGCTGTTTGGCGGCGGGTGGGAGGTGCTGGGGGAAGGAGGCGGAGCAGGTGCAGGAAGAGGCGGAGCGAGAGCTAGGTGCACTCAGGGAAGGGGACGGAGTGGGGGTTGGAAGAGGTGGGGTGGGACCTGGGGGAAGGGGCGGAGTGGGGACAGAATGGAAGCCTCGGGGCAGAGCAGGGGTAGAGCACCCCCCTTGACAGAGGACAGTCGGCACCTATGCCTTAGCCTATTGTTTAAGAGAATCCTTTGAAGTTTATAACACTTGCCAAGGTTTACATTAGTCATGCCGTCTAGACAAATTACATACAATCCCACAATAACACACAAACATCTGCATTGTTCGTACCACTGAGAGATTTAAACTTAATTCAGTAAGGTTTATCCAGGACACTGTAGGAAGTTGTCTTTAGGAAGAAGGTGAATAATAGGGGAATGAGAAAAGGGTACAAAATAGTGAGCAATACCGAGAAAGAAGATCTATTTAAATCTCTCAGAAACCAAGAAAAAGGGACATTCAATGAGGAAATTGAATTAAAACTCATGAAAGGAAAAACATTTTTAAACAAAGCCAAATTAGCCTGTGGAACTGATTGCCACAAGGTATCACTGAGGCCGAGAATTTAACAGGATCCAAAAAAAGAATTAGACTTGTGTTACAGAAAATGAAGACATCTAGGTCCACTGATAGCAGTTTGGAGGGACTATAAATGCTCATGCTTCAGGGCAGAAAGCCACCTCTAACTGTGGGGACTAGGAATAAGCTTCTTCTATGGGCCAGCTATTCCATTACCATCCCACCTTTATAATTTCTTGCACCTTCCTCTGAAGCACCTGGTATGGATCACTGTTGGAAACAGGCTGCTCGTGGGCTAGATGGACCCCTGGTTTGATCTAGCGTAGCAAGGCCCATGTTCCCACCACAGACGTTACAGGTGAAGAGAGCTAATAGACCATCCAGTCCTTGTCCCTGGGAGCAATGCAGGGATTGTTCCCTTGGGTGCATTTTCTAGTGCTGACCCCTACAACTGATCCACATCTGCACTGGGGCACAAGATCTTTATCTTCAATTGCTATTCCTGTGCCTACAATTATCCAGCCCCTTATTAAATCCAGGTGCAGCATTTGACTCACTGACCACAACTCCCTGTTGTGTGAAGAGGTAGCTAACATGTTAAAACACAATTTGTCTCGGGAGGAATTTTTAGTCAGATGTTTCTGTTGACAGCTATTTAACTCTAATAGCTGGGAACACTTGTGAGAAAGGATATCTTTGTTAAAGATTCAACACCTCCCCAAAATGCCAGTTTAGCTTCCAGTCCAGATCTCTAGTCCTCCATGGAGATCTTGTCATGAAGTGCTCTACTCACAGCTGCAGCGCCTCCTTCTGGTCGCAGCTGGGATTAGCTCTGCCTGGCGGCCGCCCCTTCCTGCAGTTGCACTCCGTCGCTCTCTCGGGACTCAGCTGCTCCCGTTTCATGGCTTGGCCCTCTGGCCAGGTCGCTGTGGTTTTCCCCTTCAGAGGAAGTCGCAGGTATCCAAGTCTCTCTGGACGCCCTGGACTGTCCCAGGCAGTCTTCTCTTTCACTTCCTGCTTAATGGTTTCACTTCCCAGTGGCTAGTAGGGGATCACAGGTGCCCTTTACACTGCTTTCCAGCCCAGGAACTCTACAACTAACAGTCAAGGTCTGCACAGTTGTATCTGGCCTACTTCCTACCTTGCCTTCTCATGCTGACAGCAACTGCTGTCTCTCTCTGCAGCCCCCTTCTTCTCTCAGCTACTGGGCTTTATACAGACCCCTCCTGTCCCTGTCCAGCTGCACTTCCTCTTTAATTAGCCCTCGTTACACCCTGGCTCCTCCTCCAGGTACAGCCTCGGGGATTAATTGACTCACCTAGCCACCTTTACCCCTTCAGGCCTTGTGCGGGGTGGACACCCCATCATGGATCTCCATCAAACACAGGGAAGACAAAACTCGATATTCCTAACATAAGAAAAAAACATGCAGAATTTTTTAAAATAACGTATTAAAAACCATTAAGTCTTCCCCTGCAGTGCTGGGAACCGCTACTGTGAGAGAATCAGAAACAGAAACTAACCAGCTGGCTTCCACTGTCCACAGCGAGTGAAAGCCAAGCAATAAACAAACTGCCCTCCTATACAGTAGCTTTGTAACACTGTCCGTTTATAACAGCGTACGGTGTCGCAGGGAACACAGATAAGGAAGGAAATGTAAACCAGTGGGGACATATTTGTTCCTGGTGTAATTCCGTCACCCTCACAGCGACACCAAGGTTGAGTTTAACTCACGGCTTAGTTTAGCCCTGCAAGAGGTTTTGAAAGCTAGTTTGAAAGAACATCCTCCTGGAAGCGCTGTGGTTACACGAAGTGCTGTGAGAGCCCCTTCCCCACTGCTGCCCCAGCCTCCAGGGCCACCTCTCCCTGCACCGAGGGTTCTGTCACAGCTGGAAAACCCTCCCGATGTCTGATAGCCCCACGGCCCCTCTCCTGCTCCCCCAGCAAACGAGTCACAAGCCCGTGGCTGGCCCAGGAAGAGAAAGTGATGGGAATCAGAGCACTGGCCGACGAGATGATGCACTCAGTACGAGGATTGTTTTGGAAAGGAAGGACATGCCGGAGTCTGAACCAGTAGCACCCCCGCCTCTCCCAGGGAAAACACAAAGGTAACAGACTTTCCTACTGTACTAATGCTTCTGAGGCCCAGGTCCCAAAGTTGATTTGTAGATTTTCAAGGCCAGAGGGGACCGTTATGATAATCTAGTCTGATCTCCCGCATAGCAACGCCCTGGGAATTTCCCCTGATCACTGCATTCGGAATAACTTCACGAATCAATAACAGCAGAGAAGCAGAAGGAAGGGAGAAGAAAGGTATTTGCAGTGAGATCACAAAGGATTAGAGATGGAAAAGACCAGAGAGGGGTGTGCACCAGAACCTCAGACTCAAATATCCCTAAACTTTGGGGTTGTCAAATTCCAGCTCCCACCCTTTATCCAAATGTTAGGACTAGCACCTCTCTCTGTAAAAGACCAAATCTGAACCCCACATCTGGGCACCAGTGAACTCCAAATCTGTTCCACGGGCTAACTGATCTCACTGTCAAGACAATGGGAAGCTGAGGCACAAAGAGGTTAAGTGACTTACTGAGGATCACAAAGCAAGTCAGTGGCGGAGGCAGGCATAGATCCCAGGAGACAACTCGCCTCCTTTTGCACAAGTGCACTTACAGAAGTTTTGGGTTGCATATTAGCTATGATTTGTGTGATGGGGCTGAACTGAATCCCTGAATCTAGGTGCTGTATAACTCAGGCTTGCTGAGTTCAGCAGGGAAGTTTTGTGATGTGGTCACACATCCACTGGGGGGGCAACCCCCCAAATTCACATCACAGAGCTCTTGGAGCAGCTACCTTTGGACACTGCCAACTCAGCCTGGATTGAAATCGGCGAGCTAGAGGCTCATGACTAAGCCCTGAGTCCCTGGTCTACTGTCGAGTTTGAACAGTCGGGGTGGGGGGGAGTTTCTAAGAGCCTTTGAGATCGTCCTTCCCAGCTTCGCCAGCCCTGCCCACTGTTGCACAGGACACGAGGGACCTAAGGATCCGTTAGGAGACTGAAAAATCACTGCCACATTCTTTTGACTCCAGGGACATGAGTTTGATCCTAGAATGAACCTGGTTAATGGGAGCTCCTTATCAGCTCACGAGGTGGTGGCAACCCCCATAAACTAGGAGCAGGTTGCTGTCTCCAGCAGCATCCTCCTCAGGCAAGCTCTGAGGCCTGCCTGGTTCTGCAAAGCCCCCCCAAGGAATCTGCAGGGCTAATATTTCCCAGAAAGCACCCTCCCCTCCTGTCCCAGGCCCTGAGCATCCTGCTCAGCAGCCTCTGGAGGTTAAACACCTGGGATGAAATGGAGGTAGGGTGACCAGATGTCCCGATTTTATACGGACAGTCCTGATTTGTGGGTCTTTTTCTTATATAGGCTTCTATTACCTCCCACCCCCTGTCCCGATTTTTCACATTTGTTGTCTGGTCACCCTAAATGGAGGTGAAGGGCTAAGCTGCTGAGGGACATGCACAGCTAAAACAGGAGAGAAATGTTTTCAGAGGAAATCTGGTAGCACGCAGGAACAGGGCACGGATGAGGTGCGTGTGCACAGGCCTGTCGTATACACACACGTGCACAGAGGTATCCATGAATGTTTGCAAATCCAGGAGTGCTGCCGTACCACTGTATATGGCCCTCAGACACTAGCCTGCCCACATGCAGGCAGGCACACGGACCAACAGGAGCCTGCCCAGATAATGCTGTACACCGGGGGGGTCTCAACCTTTCCCTTTCTGAGCCCCCTCCCTTCCCCTCCCCCCAGCAGCATGCTACAAAAACTCCCCGGCCCACCTGTGTCACAATAACTGGTTTCTGCATGTAACGGCCAGAGCCAGCGTGAAGGGGTGGCAAGCAGGGCAATTGCCAGGGGCCCCATGGCACAGGGGGCCCTGTAAAGCGAAGTTGCTCAGGCTTCTGCTTCAGCCCCGGGTGGCAGGGCTCAGGGCCCCGGGTTCAGCCCTGCGCAGCAGGGCTTAGGCTTTCTACGCTGGGCCTCAGCGAATCTAACACTCGTCCCGCTTGGCGGACCCCCTGAATCCTGCTCACGGACCCCTGGTTGAGAACCCCTGCTCTGCCCCATTCTACTAACCTTCAGCAATTCTCCCAAGCACCCCCCGGGGGTAGGGCAGGTATCCACCCCACCATTTCACAGATGGGGGGGGGGGGTCATGGCAGGGAAGAAGAGAAGGGGAGAGATTTGTCCAAGATCATGCTTCAAGTTAATGGCTCCCCGTCCCACACTCTCCCCTTTAGACAAACTGCCCCAAAGTGTGCATCCACCACGACACCTGCCCCTTTCCCCACACAGAGCATTTTCAGAAAGAGGACTGGGTAATGTGCAGGGAGCCTCAGCCCCATGGGGAGCCAGTGGCTGCTAAAAGCGCCATTGCCCTCTGTGGTTTAACAGCCCTGACCGCACTTCCCCTGCTCTAGGAAAGCATCTCGCTTCAATTCCTCTCTCGAAACTTCCCCCTGTGGGAGCTGTTTGCACAAAACGCTCAGACCGTGCAGGGTCAGCAGCAATTACCTGACGGAAAGTCAATTCCTGAGCTGGTCAGGGACCAGCTTGGAGGTGGCCTGGTGAGCCCTGAGTCAAACAGAGACTCATTTAAAAGGCTCTTCCGTCATCAGGTGCTTCAGAAAAACCTGATCCCTGGTGGAATTCCCTGGGCTCCCCTGGGGGGGTGGATCTGGCCCAGCACGTAGAGAAATGTTTGCAGGGTTTAGGGTTTATTTAAAAACAAACAAAACCCAACGAACTGCTAGTTTCCTTGATAAGGCCCCAATTATAAACACAGCCACAGCAGGGTGGGGCTAGGAACTGAAACCGCCAGAGACTCTGGCTCTGATCCAGGGAAGCGATCTGGCCCCTTGTATATCGCTCACTTTAGCAACCTCCTGAAGAGCCTGGACTCTCTCAGCCCAGATCGCTCCTTCCTCTTCTTCGCCCTACTCCTCCCCAGGCTGCAGAGGGCCCCCTCCTCTCGCACTCTGATTTTCTATAGCCGGGTTCCCCTCCAAACCTGGGTATTTTGTTGGGACATTGAGAGCCCTCTAGATTTCTCTGGTCCCCAGGATCCAGATGTGAATTTGGGTGTGACACACACAGGAAGGCTGATGAGGGCCTGTCCCCAGTCACATGTTGTTTCAGGGCTCCAATCCGATCTTGGTCCCCCCTCCCTATGGCAGGAGTTCGACTCGCACACTGACTCCAGGTGCTGCTGTAACGGTGTGGACGAGACTGGGTCTTCCCGTGTGTCCACCTTCAGTACGCTCCCAGCCTGCGACACCCACATAGTGTCCCTCCATGGGAGGGGGCGGAGGAGAAAACAAGGTCACCCATCCAGGGTCTGCTAATGGCCTGGATTCAACCCTGGATACGCACACAATTATCCCCTGCACAGTGGGGGGAGAGGGGAACAGAACCGTGGATCAGGACGCACAAGTGCAGCGCCCTATGGAGGGAGTACGAGCGAGAGAGCAAAGAGCTGCGTGGGAGAACGTCCCGCCCCAGCCCCAGCCTTTAAGCAGAGTTGTTGGAGCCATGGATGTTAGCGGGAAAGACAGGTGGGGCAATATCTGTTATTAGACCAACTTCCCTTACTCCAGCGTGGCAGCTTGTCTCTTCCACCGGCACAGGTTGGTCCTGGGTGAGGTGCGGTGGCCCGCGATGTGCAGGAGGTCAGAGAAGAGATGATCCTGATGGTCCCTTACTGACCTTAAGGTCTCCTGAGTCAGAGAGATTCCCTCTCCCACCTTGGCATTGGGGCAATGCTGCCATCTACTGCAGAGAAGCAGCACAGACAATGGGCAAAGCTAGCAAACTTCCCAGGTCCCTTTGCAAATTGGAGGCCCCCAAGCATCCCCACATCTCCTTTTCCTTTATTTCTCTTTCGCTGGCAGAGAATGGAGGAAACTTTGCTGGGAATTTGGCCTAACCTCCCTCTTCCCTCCCTACAGGGGGATCATCCCAGCCAGAAGAACGAGAAGCTCCAGCTCTCAGCTCAACTGTCCTGGCTCTGCTGAGCCACCCTCAGCAATGCAGGGCGCAGGGGCGGGCAGCCCTGCCCAGCACGGCGCCCAGGGAAATCTCATTTACAGCAACGTGGGTGAGTGGCCTCCAGCAGAGCTCAGAGGGAGCTGGGCCACCGACTCACTGATGCAAAGCTGGGTGCAGCTGGCAGCTGTTGGCCAGTTTTTGCAAAGAGCTTGGCCCAGTGGGTGAACGTGGGGTGCTGTGTGTAATGGCCACCCTCTTGGCTGACATGGTGGTGATTGAACCGGGGACCTCGCGAGAGAAATACATGCATTGCTATAGCCTGAGCCGAAGCTGTTTAGTTAGGGCCTGTCAGCGACTCGTGTCCCCTGTGGGTCAGGCACAGAGGGCTCATAACACACACCGAGTACTGGATTACACTGAGCACTTGACAATCTGGCCTCCCGTGCAGTGGTGGTTCTTCCCTCTCACTCCAGCCCTCCAGCTCTGAGTCCTGGTCAGTTCTTCAGTGACGTCCAGGGGAAAAGCTCAGGGTGGGGCTGGTGATTGCGCAGGGGGAGTTAGGCCTTGTGTACCCAGAGAGGTGCAGAGGGGTGAACAATAACTGCTCTCCCAGGGTCAGTGGAACAACAATGGGGGCAAGTTAACCCCCGATTTGTACAACCAAAACCCACTGGACACAGGCTCAGTCGGCTGGATGTCAACATGGACACAACATGCTGGCCCTAACTGTGAGAGGTCCTGCAAGCTGAGTGTCGCCTCCCAATCCCCCTCCCTGGAAATGGCCCCCGCCAGTTCCACAGCTCCTCCATCCCCCATCTGAACCCTGGCCCTCCCCTCCCCTCCCCTCCCCTCCCATGGCTTGTAGGCTAGAGGGCAGCAGTGAGCGTGGAGGATGGATTTGAAGGTGGTGGAGATGAGACGGGCAGTTGCTCTGGAGGGTGCATTGCAGACGGAAGGGGCAGTGTGGAAGAAGGTGCAGAGATGCGTCCAGGTGAAGGACTAGTGGGGTTGGGGGATAGTGGGTGACTAGGCCAGGGATGTAGACAGGAGCTGCCCAGTGTAGGTCCTTGCAGACTCACTGAGCACCTAGGAAGCATCTTGAGGCTGGAGGTGGTGGCTGCGTAAGCGTGTAATTGTTATTCCCTTGCAGAAGAAATGCGAGCACACTTGGTGCCAGCCAAGACATGCCGAGGGGAGTCACCTGAAAAGCTCCCCTCTGAGGCCAGCAGTGATCCTCTCCCTCCACCCCTGCCAAAAAAGCAGCTCAGCAGAACCAGGTCCTTGCCCGAGATGCAGACTCATCACTACTACCCGTGCAAGAGTGCCCCCTTCCCCACGCCGCATTATGTCTACAACACCCTGTATGAGGTCTCCACACACAGCAAGGGAGGCAGCCGCAGCTACTCTGAGTCAACGGAAGGAGCTCTCTGTGGCCCTAAAAGATACTTGTCTAAGTCCCAAAGCCTGGGTGCATCTGAGCCCTGGGACGCCCTGTGTGAAGCTCACCCTGTCCCTGTCCCTGTCCCTGTCCCAAGGCACATCACCACAGAAGAACTGACGTTCACTACTCCTGATGGAGAGCTCGTCTACTTTTTCGAGGACCTGGAGAGCACAACCAACGTCTATGAGAAGGTGATGGGGTGCCACCTGGTGTCTTTGATCCATCTCACGGCAAGGGCACAGAAGATCCTGGGCGGAAAGGAGGAGGAGCAGCAGCTGATGAGAGCAGAGCTTGCAGGAAAGAAGAAGTGGGCAGATTTCACGCTCTTAGACAAGCAGCCATGTTGTGAAACAGGAGACGCCTGGTATTACCGTGTTTCCTGTTCCTCTGAGCAAGCCCAGCAAATATTCGCAGCCAAGGTAACCATAAATATTAGAGATGGGGAAAGATCTGAGTCAGGGCAGCCTGCCTGTAGCCCTGATCCGTGCGGCTCACCACCACCCCAAAGTCTGAGAATCTCAACAAAAAACAGATTTCTGGTCCCAAGGAGCCCATCCTTTGCTGCTCCTTACTAGTGAGGTGTGGGGATTAGGCAGTATGGTCTACTGGGTTAGACGTAGGCCTAGGTATCAGGAAAGTTGGGTTCTGATGCACTGGGTGACCTTGGGCAAATCTCTGCCTCTCTGGGCCTCAGTTTCCCCCTCTCTAAAATGGAGGTTACGATTCTGACCCCACCCTAGTGCAAGTGCTTTGCGATCCGTGGGGAAAGGGTGATTGTTTGATTTTATGGTGAAAATCCGCTATTAGTGACTTCATCAGCCTTGCCATGGCAGTCAGCTGTGATGGGGCCTGGCAGCGGTTTGTCACTGGGGGGGGGCAGCAGGAGCCGATGAACCACGCTCCACTTGTCATGCAGCCGCCCCTAGTACGGAAGAACAACAGATCAGCTGGAGCAATCGGAAGCTCGTGTTGTATCAGCAAGACCCAGTGAGATGCTCCCCGGAGCTTTCGGGGAGGCATCAGTGGTTCTTTACACAGTTCTCAAAAGGATCCTAAAAACCATGGACGCTTTTCCCTCATAATGAGTGGATGGATGGTCCTGATTTTCAACTTTGGAACATGAAGGAGTCCGTACTGCTTGGCAAAGGTGCCCCGGGAAGGCCTCTACCCCCAGAATAGGTCCAGCCCAGGCAGCAGGGCTAGCTTCTTCCACCGTCCCCAGTGGCAGTTTTACCTGAGTAAGGAGTGCAGGGTGAGTTTCGGTTACAAAACTGGCCTGGGCTGGAGTTGAACTAGAGATGAAAGGGTGCTGAGCCAAATCCCCACGCTCCTCAGGCATACAGCCCCCTCGACAGACTTTCTTTGTCCACTGTTGTCTGTGTTGTGTTATCCAGCCCATTGTTCTTGGCCTCCAAGGGGCATCAGAGGGTGTTAAGAGTGAAGAGTAGAGGGGTGTGGCTTGTCGGTTCCTCCCAGCAAAGACAGGCTGATCCAGCTTGGGCTGGGAGGGGGAAATCCCATAGCACTTAACAGCCATCCTGGGGGACAGTGGTGTCTTTCACCACTGCAGCCCCATGTCAGCCTGAGTGAGCATCACCCAGGATAACGGGGGGTTCCAGGCAAAGCAGAGACTGGCACCAAGATGACTAGACTTGGGGCTCAGTGCGGGGACTCTGGGGTTAGCCGAGAGGAGCTGCAACTCAGAACTCAGCAGATGATGGGCCAGTTTTCAGGGTGTAGAGCCCCAATTCTGGACACTGAGCACTTGAAAACCTGGCCTGACAGGCTGCAGTGATACAAGCCAGCAGCAGGAGCTGGAAGGCAGCCTGGACCAATGGTAGTCAGGGTGTGTTTACACTGCAATTGGGAGGCATGACTGCAGCACGGTTAGACGTATCCCAGCTAGCTCTAGCCTAGCCACAGTGACATGGGTTGTAGCCCAGGTTAGCCCCCAGTACATGCCCAGGGTCCTAGGTGGCATCCTCCTTGGGCAGCTACCCTGCTAACGTTAGCGAGCTAGCACGATCCGACTAGCTTGGGTACGTCCACACACACTGCAGTCACACCTCCTGCCTGCAGGCTGACGGGAGAAAACGGGGTCGCAGCCTGGTCTAACAGTACGAGGGAGCAGCGTAGAGTAAGACCGAGTGCAGCCTCCATCACCCACTGAACACCCCAGGGCTGGGAATATCAGCCCATGGTTTGCTAGCCAGCGTTAATGGCCAAGCCAAGTCGCAGGTTCTCAGCAGCCCAGTAGAAACAACCAGGAAGGTTTCACAAGCATCCATCACGCTCCCCAAGGCTGGGATCAGGGCAGTGGGGCAGGCGGGAGCTCCTGCAGTGTGATTTCACCCTGCTGCGTCTCATGCACCCTGCCAGCTACCATCTGACTTAGCTGCCTCAAGCCAAGTTCATCCCTGGAGGAACAACACTGGCTTCCACCAGGGAGAGATCAGACCCCGGGAATCTGTGGCACCTGTTGAGGCCACAAGTTTATAGCCCTGAAATGAAGTGAACTCGGTTCACGTGCCCTCCCTGCCCCACCCCCCCAATACTTCTTCCTCTTCTCCATTAAGCTCAGAGAAGGAACAGGGAAGGGCTAGATGGGATTTCACTGCGGGAACAGGCACCGGAAATTCCAGATCGGAATCAACAGACTGACAGGCTCAGCAGCTGCCATCACACCCCCATGCTCTGCTGGAGTTGTTAACAGAGCCAGAGGCTGGACTGGGGACCTCCAACCTTTGCCTGACCACGAGCTGCGCTGGCAACTTTGCCAGGGGCTTGGAGCCAACAGAGCAGGTCACAGTGGGCAATATTAGCCTTCCCATAAGGCAAGTTTCTTCCAAACCCAATATTATTAGAGATGAGGGTGGTAGCTGGCCATGTGCTGCATCTTATCATCATCATCTTATCATCATCATCCCTTTGGAGGCCCCCTGGTGCTAGGCCTGTACACACTCAGTGAGAGAGATTCCTTGCCCCAAAGAGCTTGAGCACCAGGACCTAAAGGTATTTAGGCAGCCAAGGCCCCTGGATTTCGCTGAATTCTGCAGTGGACCGGGAATTGCACAGCAACGTTGATTGATTACAACACTGCATTGGCTGATGTGACCTTGCAACATTTCTAGCCTGCGCTGGTTGATTTTGTTCTCTGATGTGTGCACACAATTCGTCCACTAAAACCCATGATCTGATTGGAGTCATTCCATTCACCCGCCCTCGCCCCATCTATTTGCTTCTCTCCCTGTGACTACTTGTCCATTTAGTCTGTAAGGCCCAGATCTCATAGACTTTAAGATCAGCAGGGACCATCGTAGTCATCTAGTCTGACCTCTTACACACTGCAGGCCACACTTAGCCAGAGGTTATGGGTCTGTTTCAGGAGTGGGTGAGTTACTGAAGTCCTCAAATCATGGTTTAAAGACTCCAAGTCACAGAGGATTCACCATTCACTCGTTTAAACCTGCAAGTGGCCTGTGCTCCATGCTGCAGAGGAAGGCGAAACTCCACCAGGTATTTGGGCACCCAACTGCCATTGAAATCAGAGAACAAAAAAGCCCAAAGCAATCAGTACAAGCTAGAAATATTCCAGGGTCACATCAATTAACACTGTTGTGCAATTCCTAATCCCCTGCCAAATTCAGCCACACCGGTGGGAGTTAGGTGCCTAAATACCATTGAGGATCTGGGCCTTGCAGACTAAGTGGGCAAGTAGGAATAGGGAGAAGCAGCAACTAGAAGGGGCTGAGGGAGGGTGGATGGAGTGACTCTAAGGGGATGTCTACACTGCAGTGAAACACGTGGGGCTGGCTTGGGTGAGCTGACTCAGGCTCGGGTGAGCTGACTCAGGCTCATAAGGCTCAGGCTGCAGGACTGTGAGATTGCTGCACAGATGTTTGGGCTCAGGCTAGAGCTGCAGCTCTGGGACCGCATGAGAGGGGAGTGTCCCAGAGCCAGGACTCCAGCCCAAACATCTACACTAGATTTTTACAGCCCCGTGAGCCAGAGTCAACTGACCCAGGCTAGCCACGCTCCTGCCATGGGTCTTGTATTCCAGTGTAGACATACCCTCAGATCACAGTTTAGTAGACTCCCCGTGTGCATTTTTTGTTTGTTAGGTAATGGATAAGCAGATCAGGAGCAGTCACCTCAGCTTGCCCCTGCCTAACCATTATTAGCTGGCTACACTCTAAAGGTACCCCTGTGGAAGGAAGCCTTGAGCAGGGATTTGAAGAATAGGTTAGTGGCTGCAAATGCCTTTGAATCACCACTGGACTAGAGGGTAACATCTTTACAATTGATCAAGGCCCCTGTAATGGTGTGGGAATGGGCACCCCCTTGTGTCAGGGTGTAACATTGCCTTTAACCTTGGCTCCAGCACCTCCTGCCGGCTGGCTCACTGGATCTTCCATGGCTTGGCCCTCCACCAGGTCAGATACATGTTTAAAAACTTCCAGGGGATCCAGAAGTTCCTACTGAAAGTTCACAAAATGTCCCCATACAAAGGAACCTTCAGTTCCCCTTCTCAGGCTATTCCTTGGCCCTTCCTTTGGACCAAGGCTTCAGGCCCACCTTGGGTTCAATATTCCTTACACTGGGCTTGCATGCCCCCTTCCTCAGGGGCTGGTAGAGGAACCCAGGCTTCCCCACTCTACTGTGGATTCCCCACCTGGGAACCTGCCTGTATTAAGCAGCTGGGTGTGCTTCTTCAGACATGCTGCTATTTCCTTGGGACACTTCCTTCCTCTCAAGCACTTCTCCACAGCTGGTGCTTAACACAGCCTCCCTTTAGAGTTCCCAAACCTCTGGCTTCTCCCTTCTGGACTGAACTAATAACTCTTCCTGTCCTTTCAGGCTCTGCCTTTCCTGTCCCTACCTCAGGCCCTTCCCCAGAGGAGCCAAACCTGCTCCTGCAGAGCTCCTTCTCTGTTGTTCCTTGTCTTAGGAGGCTTTCCCTCACTGCCTTCCCTCCTCAAGGACTCTGGCAGCTTCCCCTAGGGATCTTCCCTGCTCCTTGTAGGCTCTAGGTCAGGACTTCCCCGACAGGAGCCTATAGCTGCTACTCTCTGTGGGTCCACCCGCCTGTTTAAGTCCTATCTCAAGGTCCCCAGCCACAGGACCCTGAGCTACTTATTCCCTGTGTTTCTCGCTACAGAGAAGTCTGGCCTTCCTCAGAGAGTGGCAACACTCCTTCCTCCTCTCAACAGAGCTCCTTGAAAGGCCCAAGTGCCAAAGGGATCTTAGCTAGCTCCACCCCTCTGGCCAGAAGTCAAATTAGTTAATCACCCTCCAGCTGCAGAGCATGACTAATTGTTTTTTTTCCATTTCTAGCTGGAGACAGGAGTCCCCCCATCATAGTCCCCCTGTGTTATTCAGCATGTCAGACCTAATTTGTGCCCCAAGGTGTCTCCAATGTGTGTAGCAGATCTGCCCCAAATTCTGTAGCAAACTGGGAATCACACAACTGTGTTAAGTGACTGCAACAGTCACTTGGCTGGTGTGACCCTGGAAATGTTCTAGCCTGCACTGATTGATTGTGTTCTCTTTATCACATCCAGCTGACTATGTGTTGCTGGTTCTTGCCCTAACAGGTCCATAAATCCTATCCCTGCAGTCTCTCGGTACAGATGTCTGTAGAAGCTCATTTCAACATTCAGCAAGTGTTTAGCTACTTCCTTGATTCCCTCCCTAAGGACCTCATGCCTGTGGAAAGGCCTCAGAAGCTAGATCAGTTCTGTCCTGGAGAATGTGAGGAAGCTGTTTCCAACAGTGCATCCCCTCCTCTTACCCAGGTGGCCATCTCTCCTGAGGTTCCTTATCAAACCCTGGCTGATTTTGTGAAGGGATCACAAGATCTCCACAGCTCCAGGCCCGGGCACTATGAACGCCTGGCTTGCCTCCTCATGCTGCAGTTGTGTACAGGGCTAGAGCATCTCAAGCAGCAGAAGGTTGCTCACTACAACATTCACATGGAGAACCTGCTCTTGGTGCACTGTCCATCTCCTCACCAGGGCCAGCAGGACAAAGATTCATCTGCAGAGCTGTCGCTTCCAAGGTTGGTCATCAGCAACTTCTCTAAAGCTACAGGAAAGAAGACATTTACTTCTGTGGCCCAAGATCCAGACCGAGTCAGCATGGCCCCCAAATGGCTCTCTGTGGCTCACTTCCAAAATGCAGAGGGGTTCCAGGTAGGCATATTGGTCTATGAGATCTTGCATCAGCCCAGCCCCTTGGAGAAGCCCTCAGGACTCAGGATTGGTGACCTCCCTGCCATCCCAGCCCTGTCCATCTATTCGGGGGGGCTCCAGAACCTGGCCACCCTGCTTCTTCACCCAGATCCGCACAGGAGTGTGTCCATCGAACAAGCAAAGAACATGCTGCAGGTCTTGCTGTGGGGACCACGCCAGGAGCTCTTTGCCAGGAACCAAATCACTCCGGTCTTGCTCCGGAACTGGGTGGCCATTAAAAGGGTGCTGTTGCTGCTGAAGTTTGCAGAGAAGGCGTCTGAGGCAGAGGTGACCATACGGCTGGAAGAGTGGCTGTGCTGTTTGTACTTCACAGAGACCCCCGAGCACACGCTCCTCCACACCCTCAGCATTCTGCTTGCTTTAGAAAGCCCGGGGGCACATTAGACTTAACAGCTTATGCATCAGTTATGAAATACCTAGATTCTCTGGGCCCTAAGATTCATCTCAGCTCTTCATTCTTCAGAAGAAGACACCCTGAGTTTTATGCAGCTAACTGGGGGGGGGGGGGGGGAGAGGGGGGAGAGAGTAGACTTTTAAGACTTGGGTCCTGTTTACTCTAAAGTTTGTGGCACTTTGACTAAGAATAGGGCCAGAGAGGCCAGGTACAGCTGGACTGCCGCAGGTGGAGTTCTGGGGTGGAATGTACCTCCCCGCTCCCTGACACACAGAGGGACTGAGCAGCTTGCTCAGCATCTTGCATCCATTAGGGACCCAGTCCTACTCCCGTTGACTCACACAGCCAGCTCCTAAATATCTGCCATGGGGTATTTCTCATGTGTGTTTCCAGGATAAACCTCATGCTGTTTACTACTCATATCCCTGCCCTTTCCAGGTCCCCTTTGTGCAATCTCTCCATCCTCTTCCCTTCGGGTTCACGCCTTCTTCCTGTTCCTGGGAACTTCATAAACATACTGTTTACACCTCTAACCTGCCCCTCGAACTCTTTAGTGATTGTTCAAAATAAGATGGAGCCAAACTCCCTAGTAGACCAATCCCCACAACTGTGCACTCTGCAGTGTATTCTACCCTTGGTTTAGGCTCCTTCTGCCAGTTTTCAGTCCATGATGCAATGTTTTGTACCAAATTCCCTGGAGTTTTTCTGGGAAGACTTTCTTCCTGAGGGCCAAATGTTCCAATACATACTCACCAGGTCATCTGAGTAAGGGTTACAGGAGTTGACCTTTAGACACAAAATCTTCCTGGAAGCATCCTCCTCCCCACCCCATATCTGCATCCACTAATTCTGTCATTTTGTTTAAAAAATAGACTCCAGTTTGTCTTAAAGGTAATGTTATTAAGGAGAAATATGATACATCTGATAGACTTACTCTTATTAAAAACTGATTGTTACATAATCATTACCATGGAGGATGTATTTCAAAGGGAGAAATTTATCAACCCTGTAGCAGAAACCTTCAATAAAAACAGGATCCTGCTGAATCTTAAATGCTGTCCATTCAAATTCTTACTTTTTATGACATTAGCACTCTGCATGACATGTCCAGGGAAAAACATAAAGCCAAGCTTCACTGCTCTGTGCGTAGGTCTAATAGCATAGATAGTATGATGAACAGTTTGGATCTGTTTGTGGCTACCCCATGTGGGTGCACTGATGGAGACAGACTTCAGAAAACCAACCAACCAACCCAGAGCTCACCATCAGAATCAGCCTGCAAAGCATATCTGTGGGTGATTATGAAGGCCAGTGAAGCTGGCCACCCAGCAGCAACTGCATGTGAATTGTAAATCCCTACTTTGGGTGTGAGGTCTGTCTTTGGACTCGCTAGGCCTCCTAGACTATCCTTGACAGGTGTTTGTCCAATCCCTTCTTAAAAACCTCCAGTGACAGGAATTCCACAAACTCCCTTTGAAACCTATTCCAGAGCTTAACTATCCTGATGGTTATAAAGTCTTTCCTAATATCTAACCTAAATCTCCCTTGCTGCAAATTAAGCCTATCCGTTCTTTTCCTATCTTCAATGGACATGAAGAACAATTGATCGTGGTCTTCTTTATAACAGTTCTTAACATATTTGAAGAGTGATCAGGTCCCCACAATCTTTTCTCAAGATTAAATCATGATTGGATATAGCAAATTTTTGCTTCAATGAAGTATACAAATATTGTCAACACTGTAGTCAATGGAAGCTACATATGTTAAGCACCTTTGATAATTATGCCAATCTTATTAGCTTTCTAACTGTGGATTTAGGAACCTAACTTTAGGCCTGGCTGTGCAAGACTAATCAGGTTTACAGCATAGTAGAAGCTTAATTTGTTTCTGACCCCTCAAAATCATTGTCAGATAGATAGGCTTCTGAGAGGTAGGTCATCAAGAAAGAATGGGTTTGTGGGCGGACCGCACCCTTCCAACACAGGCTTCACCTGGACAATGCTTTCTTTTACACAAGATGCTTACTTCCAAAGTGTCTGCTTGCTAACACAGTGAGCCAAAGAACATTTTAGTCTGGTTTTGGCTTATGCTGAGCCATGTCAGTTACACACATACATGCCTATCTGGTAGATTATAATGTCTGGGAATTTTCATAGAAAGGACTGTCTTGTGGTTAAAGCACAGCCCTAGGAGTTAGGATATCTGGGGTCTATACTCAGCTCTGCCACTGATTTTCTGGGTGACCTTGTTAGCCTTTTCTCAGTGATCTCCTGCAATACTTTGCCTGGGTGCGAGATGGCAGTACAACGCCTAGCACTAGCAGCAGCAAAACAAAGAAACAAAATTATCGGTTATGCTTGCTCCAGTCTAATCATGCTCCTGTTTATTTACCACAGGCCTAAGTGGGCTCTCAGTTACACTGACACAAATCCAGAAGAACTGCAGCAATGTGAATGCAATTACTTTGGGTTCACATCAGGGACCCACATTATTTTAATCTATTTATTCGTTCGTACACTGTCCAAATCACTGCCGTACCTGAGTGCCTCACAGTCTTTAATGTGTTTATCCTCTCAACACACCTGTGACGTAGGTCAGGATTGTCCCCATTTTAAAGATGGAGAACAAAGCACAGAGCAATTTAGCAATTTGCCCAAGGTCGTACAGAATGTCTGCAGAGGAACAAGGACATGAAGCCTTGTCACCCAAATTCTGTGCTTGTGCCCTAACCACGGGAACGTCTTTTATTCTCTTTTAAAATTATAATCCTTTGACTTTTATCCTGCGATGCTATCACCTTAAAAATGACACTTCTGTCTGCAATTTGTCTGAGACACAAGGTGGGAGAGGTAATATCTTTTATTGGACCGACTTCGAGCTTGGAAGCTTCTCTCTTTCACCAACAGAAGTTGGTCCAATAAAAGATATTCCCTCCCCGACCTTGTCTCTCTCTCATCCTGCAACCAACACAGCTACAACACTGCAATTTGTATGTAATATTGCTACAAATGACAGTCAATGACCATCATTGAAAGTTACACTCCAGCCACTCGCAAGGTTACACACAGTCAATCTAATGCCTTTATGCATTTGAGAGCACTTCCCGTTACAGTCCATCGGACATCTTGTTGTTTATGTGGGTCTTTCACACAGCAAGAGAGGAGAGATTAACATTTTTAAAAGTAGGCAAATGTGACTGCAAAATGACAAAATCTTGGCAAAGGACATAGGCAGCAGTATCATTATAATTGATCATTTGGAGCGTGGAAGCACCCAGGAGCCCCAGTCATGGACGAAAACTCCATTGTGCAAGGCGCTGTACAACACAGAACGGTCCCTGCTCCAAAGAGCTCTCAATTTTTAATTCCTTTTGTCACTAGACTAAATCAATTTCAGTGTAATGGCATCCCCTTTAAAGCCCTCAATATTACTGCTGACTGGAATCTGTACCATTCCTGGCTGACTCCCTGTACATTACTGCAACAGAAAACAGTTAAACCTTAAGCAGTTAGTTAGTGGTTTATTCCAAGCTTAATACTTCCTTTAAATAAATTCAATTTTAAGTGATTATTTTAACTGTATTATGCAATACGGCAGCATTGTTTAGCAGCTTAAAGCTAAGCTTGGAATCCAGCCAAGGAGGAGTCGTATAAATTGAGTTCTATACAGCATGTGTCCTTAAAAGCCAAGCTCCTAAGTGGATGTTAAAAGTCACTGTCGATGCTAAAAGTATATGCTATAATGAATGATTGACAGAAGGCAGTTCAGGTGCTCTTATTTACCCTAGCTTGCAATACAAGGACAAAGATCTAAGTGGGATCACTCAAAACTGACGAAAGGAAATGCTTTTCCACACAGCACAGTCCATCTGTGGAGCTCTTCCCCCCAAGCTCTCAACGAGGCCAAGAGCTGAGCAGGATTAAACAAACACATTATAGAAGAGACCATCCACGTTACAAGAGCAAATCTTAAAGACTGTTGAGTTTGGGAAGAAATATAAAGCTCAAAGTTCAGGGCATAAACTGACCTTTAACTACATGAATCCAGAGGAAAGCGCCACTGCAGGGCCTCTTCCTCCAAAGCAGCTGATGCTGACCACCGTGGAAGAGACAGTATGGAACCAGATGGGCCACCACTCTGATACAGTCCCTTGATTTTCTGTGCTTCTAACAAGCTTCTGGTGAAATTAACAAAATCCAATTAAATGCATCTCGAGAAGCTGGATTCGCTTTGAGTTTGTTTTTATTTTAAATAACCATTTTCCTGAGTTGGGCTTTTTTTTTTTCTCTTCCACCTCTTGGTGTGGGTATCCCAACAGCCAGCGGGGGGGGCAAATGTTGGCTCACTAGCAGGCATTGCTTGCTACGTGCAGGTACCGAGTCCCTTTCCGTGCACATAGGTCACCACCAACCTTGTCTCAGATGGGCCATAAGCCCTGTGTGCCCTCTGCTGATACCATCCATCACCCAACCGCTTCACGGGGGCCAGCCTTCCCGACAACACTCATCCTGGTGCATCTCACACTGTCTCCACACTATTTTTCTCCTGAATTTCCTCTCGGTTGCTAACCACTTGTGGAAGCAATGGTGGGGGTATTAACATAACAGATTTCCAGGCAGCTGCCAACATTTAAGCCAGTGCCTACATTTGCCCAGACCAGGGTTAAGTGACAGGATAGCAAAGTCACCTGGACTCCACTAGCGCTCTCACCCTCACTAGCATGAGTAGTACCGGTGAGAAATTTTAGGGGAGGCTATCTTCATGCCAGCTGGACCAGGGAAAGCACCTGGCAGGGATTCACTTGTCCCTGCTCTCTTCCCCCTTCCTCTGTGCAGAGGATTCAGTGGCTGGGTACCTACTTATTTGTCAGCTCAGCAGAGAAGAGTCTGTCAAACCCTAATGACAAGCTCCCAGCCCCAAGGAGGGGAATGCAGTGACAAAATAAACAGCATGTCTCAGCTGCAGGTGACATGGGGTTTCTGCTCCCTTT